CCTCTCTCTCTGGTCCCTCCCTTTCATTACTATTAGTATAATATTTTATTTTATTTCAATTTTTAAAAGGTTCTTATCTCAACCCACAGGTTTTTTCTTTTTCCAGTTCTCCTCCATGTTCCACAGGTGAGGAGTGGGGGAAGCGACTGAGTGGCTGCTTGGTGTTTAGTTGGTGGTTGGGGATAAACTGTGACACTAATGAAACTGCAATGGATTTAATGACAGTATTTCAGTTGTACTCACTGTTGCAGTGTAGACACAGTACAAGTGGGTGTTACTCCATTTTAGATTTTTAAAACTAATTGACAATAATTAATTATATCATGTAAACCAAGGCAAATGTAGCATGACAGACCTTGTGTGAAAGTGCATAGAGAAGAATCGAATGTGTCTGACAGCAAAAAATAGTATAATGGCTGTGTGGGATCCTGTGTTGTGTGTGTGTGCACATGGCTAAGTGACGGCGGCAGGAACATCCCTGACAGGCAGCAATAACGATGATCATAGAAATCTCTGTCTGCGCACAAACTGGAATCCTCAGTATAAATATCCAGGTAGGAACACATCCTTAAATTCATTCCTTCTCATCACAGACTCTACTTCTCTCCCTTCTCTTTTAGAGTGCAAAAGTCCTTCAGCATCTCCAGTCCCTGAAAACCCCAGACTCTCATTAGCCAGGACATTTTGGACAGTTTCTGAAAACTTTCTTGTGTTTCTTTGATCCAGTCCTAGTGTTCTCACCCGGGTGCTCACATCCAGTAGCCATCTGAGCCCACCTCTTGATCAAGCCCCCCTTTGCAGAAAAAAGACTCAGTTGTAATTTTTGACAGTGATTAAAATTAGCACTTCAGTTTCATAAATGTATCCAGGCAGCATTCTGTGGGAAGAAAAGGAGTACAGTTATGAAAGCTTGGATGTGGAGCAGTAGGCTGGATCATGGCCAGAAAAGACTATACAGAGTAATAATTTTAGAAACATGAAAAGTTTTTTGGTGGCGCAACATGTTTCCGATCTCATTCACATTTAGACAAAGGCAGAAATTACCTGTGATTAGAATTAGTAGTTGACAATAGTTATTCCATTTTTTCTTAAGGAAAGAACTAACAAAACCACTGAGTTGCAATGGTTTGATATGTTGGCTTTTTAAAAGTGAGTTTTGTGTCCTGTACTATACAGTAGGAAGGAATTCCAGGAGGCATCTTTCACACTTCCAAGAAACCAGCATTCCTTTGCTGTACAGCATACTTTGGTTTCCAAGTGATGCTGACACTAACAGCAGTGACACTGCTTAGCCATGGCACAAGTATGCTGACTTGCCCTTTTCCTGGCTTACTCAAGTGTGTCTTTGACAGTATTTCAGTGCAGAACAGAGCCAGGAAATTATGACTGTGGTGTGTGCTAGAGCACCTTTGTTAGTGCCTTCTAACCAGCTCACATAACAAGAGGTTGGTTGAACACAAGCAACTGAACATCATTCTATGAAACACTGAAAGTTTCTGGAAACTACAGGTAGAGGTTGCCACTTTCTTTGTTCCTAAATGGGTTTAGATTAGTCTGCAAGTAAGCAATACAATTGCACCTATGTTCTGCTGTACAGTGATAACCTTTATGCAAGTTATTCAGTGAAGCTGAATCATGGTACTGTGCTGTTCTGCACGGCTTCCTTTGCAGCTTTCATTGCCATGGTACCCAAGTGACTTCTAGCAGTGCATTAAGCAACGTGCCTGTCACTTGTCACACAAGTTCACTCTGTCTCTCATCCTTTCCCCTGTACAGGGAACAGGAGATTTCAGTTTCTCTTTTTCATCTTTCTGAGTGAAATATCTCAGTCACCATACTTGATTGAGTGAATGATGATGGAATAGTTTGTAACTTGCTGTCTGTAACACAACTAATTAAGAAAGCTCTAAAGTAAATAAAAGCAAAGCTCTAAGCTCCATTCCACACTAAATACATCAATCCTTTTTATCCAAGAAGACAGACGTATTTTCAGATTCTGTAACAAAAAGGGTGCACAAAAGGGAAATATTAAGCAGGTAATCTTCTCAGATTTTATACCACCAGACAGAATTACAGATTTTTTATTTCAAAAGAACAAAAGGTTAATATGCGTACAAGCCAGATAATGTGGAGTGTTGACCCTGGCTGGACACCAGATGCCCACCAAAGTTATCTATGACTCCCCTCCTCATTTGGACAGGGGAGGAAAATTGTAACAGAAGGTTCATGCATTGAGAAGAGGACATGGAGAGATCATTCACCAATTGCTGTCATGGGCAAAACAGACATAACTTGGGTAAAATTAGTTTAATTTATTACATATAATCAGAGTAGGGTAATGAGAAATGAAAACTAAATCTCAAAACATCTTTCCCACAGTGGTGCGGAGGTACAGAGATTGGGAGTTGTCCCTGCCACTCCTTCCTCCTCAGGGGGAGGACTCCTCACGCTCTTCCCCTGCTCCAGCGTGGGATCCTTCCCATAGGAGACAGTCCTCCATGAACTTCTACAATGTGAATCCCTTCCATGGGCTGCAGTTCTTCATGAACTGCTCCAGCATGGCTCCCTTCCATGGGGTGCAGTACTTCAGGAACAGGCTGTTCCAGCGTGGGTCCCTTCCATGGGGTGCAGTCCTTCAGGAACAGGCTGCTCCAGCATGGGTCCCTTCCATGGGGTGCAGTCCTTCAGGAACAGGCTGCTCCAGCATGGGTCCCTTCCACGGGGTCACAAATCCTTCAGCAAACCTGCTCCAGCGCAGGCTCTTCTCTCCATGAAGCCACAGGTCCTGCAAGAAGCCTGCTCCAGTGCAGACTTCCCATGGGGTCACAGTCTCCTTTGGGCATCTCCCTGCTCTGGTGTGGGGTCCTCCCTAGCCTCCCAGGGCTGCTCCACCATGGGCCTCCATGGGCTGCAGGGGCACAGCCTGCCTCACCATGGGCTTCAGCACGGGCTGCAGTGGAATCTCTGCTTGGCTGCCTGCAGCATCTCTTCTTCTCCTTCTGCACTGATGTTGGTGTCTGCTGGACAGTTACTCTCACATATTCATTCCTCTCTCTGGCTGCAATTGCTCCTGTGTGGTAACTTTTCCCCTTCTTAGCTATGTTATAGCAGAAGCACTAGCACCATCACTGATAGTCTAACCTTTGGCTAGTGGTGGGTCTGTCTTGGAGCAAGCTGGAACTGGCTCTATGGGATATGGGGGAAGCTTCTAGCAGCTTCTCATAGAAGCCACCCCTATAACCCCCTGTTACCAAAACCTTCCCATGTAAACTCAATATAGGTTCAGAAAAAATAGTCCTTTTGTCTAGCTCTGTATGCACGCTGACTTAAAACAATACCTGGATGGGAAAGACAGCAGTGAAGATCTAATAACTTTCTAGAGCAAATACAGCTATTTCATTGTAATTTGATTTGCAATTTACATGTCTAATAAAACACTGTAAAAATACCAATAATCATAGAAACATAGAATGATTTGGTTTGGAAAGGACCTTAAAGATTATCTAGTTCCAACCCACCCACCACAGGCAGGGACACCTTTCACTAGACCAGGTTGCTCAAAGCCCCCTTCAGCTTAGCCTTGAACCTGCCAGGGATGGGGCAGATACTGCTTCTCTGGGCAACCTGTGCCAGTGTCTCACCACTCGCATAGTAAAGAACTTCTTCCCAATATCTAATCTGAATTTACTTTCTGTCAGTTTAAAGCCATCCCCCCTTGTTCTGTCACTACATGCCCTTGTAAAAAGTCCCTCTCCTTTAGGTACTGAAAGCTCCCCTAAGGTCTCCCCTGGAGCCTTCTCTTCTCCAGGCTGAACAAGCCCAACTCTCTCAGCCTGTCTCCACAGCAGAGGTGCTCCAGCCCTCTGATGATCTTCGCGTCCTCCTCTGGCCTTGCTCAAGCAGGTCCATGTCCTTCTTATAGTGGGGTCACAGACCTGGACGCAATTCTGCGGGTGGGGTCTCACAAGAGCAGAGTAGAGGGGCAGAATCACTTCCCTTGACCTGCTGTACATGTTCTTTTTGATGCAGCCCAGGATATAGTTAAATACAAACACTGACAGTAGTTCCAATACATGAACGTGGCTGAGGATGTGAGAGAGATTTTATCTGGATGCGTGCATTTTTAACTGCACACACTTTTAACATTTACAAAATTTAGTTTTAAATGATCCCTTATTAAGTAGTAAGTCTATTATGTTTAATGTGAAAGATGCCTACAGGTCTCACGTTATTTCTTCAGTGCCTTACATTTTGTCCTAGAAAGGCTTGTAATTATTTTAGTATATTTAAGCTATTACAAGCTAAGCAAGTAAAATGAGAATATCATCAAAGTGAAGCAGAACTGAGAAACACAAGTGGACTGCAGAACTATTGGTGAGGGTTTTGCTATTAAGGGTGGCATTTTGCCCCGGGTCGCCTCTGGAGTTATTAAAGATGATAAATACAAGTTGTGTGAAGCGTTTGTAAAAGGACACATGCACAGCACACAGTGTATTGCCCATCCAAACCAAAGGCAGACGACCCGTCCTGCTCCTGCACCGCAGCAGCGGAGTCAGCCGCACACTCTCCGTCCTGCCTTGCCCCCAAGCACAGCTCAGCTCTTCGGCCAGGCTGTACACGAGGCGGTGGAAGGGGAGCGCTGTCCGTCTCGGCGCTGTCTGTAGAACGACCCCGCTCGGAGCACCGGCAATGCACACCTCTGCTCGGGAGGCTGCACCGTGCAGGTGCAGGTGAGACGGTGCCACCGCGGCAGACGGGCGGTGCCGACCTCCACGTTCGTTCGGGTGGCGGGAGCCGGGGCGGGACCGGGAGGGGGCGGTGACGGCGGCGCGGAGAGGGCACCGCAGCTCCTCGGGGAGGCGAGTGGGCTCCGCCGCCCTCCCAGCGCCCGCCCCTCGCCGCCGCCCGGGGACCGCCGAGCCGCCTGGCTCGCCGCAAACTTTCCTGCGGCCGTTCGAGCTGCGCCTCGCCTCAGCGGGCGGCAGCTCTCAGGGCGGCGCGGAGCGGCACCGCTCGGTACAGGCACCGCCCGGCGGGGCGCGGTGGGAGCCGCTACCGCGCTGCGCTGTTCCGCCGCGGGACGCAGGCTGCGAGGACACCGAGCGCCCACCGGCTCCGCGCTGCTTCCGCGCCGCGCTGAGCAGCCTCTGTGCGCCCCAGCCGCGGGGCACCATGAGCCAGGCGCAGCCCTACGCCCCGCGGAAGAGCAGCTCCCCGGAGGGCGGCGCCCGGCGCAACGACAGCCAAGACTACCTGCTGCTCGACGCGGAGCCCTGCGAGGAGAGCGCCCTGCCGCCCTACGCTTTCTACCCAGTGTGAGTCCCTCCGGCCGGGACCGGCCTCCCTCCTTCCCTGCCTCCCTTCCTCCGCGGGTGGCACCAGTTGGGTACATCAGCCGCGCCGAAGGAGAGGGTGCACAGTGCAGGAGTGTTCATAAATCCGTAATCCTTTCATAACTTTGTTTTGTCAAAATCTTATAGCCTTGTGTGTTTTCATTAAATTTTGTTGGATAGCTGTGGTTTAGGGTGTAAGAGCATACGCAACAAAATCTAAATGAAATAGAAATTGCAAGGGTCCCAGGAACGGCAGTTTGTAACATCCAGTCCAGTTGACATTCAGTGTTGACAGTGACCCTCTGGTTACCTGTTGTCAGCAGGACTTACGTAATTACCGCTTGTTAATGCTTCTGAGAAGCTATCCCACAGAGGGGGAAATGAGTATTAAGCAGTGCAAGATGAGCCCTAAAATCTCAGGTGATTACCAGAAAATGTACACTTCATTTGTACGAATTGTATTTTATTGCTTGACTGGTAAGTTCCAGTTGTCAATCTCTCCTAATTTTTGCTGGTTTATCTGTGAGCAGGTTAAAAGCCACTTGACAACTACCTGGGTATAGGAAAGGAGTAATAGCAACAGAAGTGGCAACACTCTCAGTGTTTGATTATTTATAAACTCAGGTATGAACAATCAGAGTTTTCAGAATTCACTGCTGTATTGCTCTTCTAAGTGTTTTTGAGAGTACTAGTTCAGTGTGCTCATGTAAGAGCACACATAATTGCACATTGGACTTAAAACTCCATATCAAAATACATGAATTTGCACATTGGACTTAAACTCCATATCAAAATACATGAAAAACCTCATGATGATTAGTTCAGAGATTGGTTCTGACTAGTGGTCTTCAACTTTGCACTAATATGGCAATTCTGAAGTTCCTTTGCTGTGTATTTATTCAGAATGGTTGTGCAGCTGTGAGAGAATGTATCTTGCAGAAGTGATTCAGAGCATTTCTTCAAACAAAATTGTCAAGGTCAGTGGGGTGCTGATATTTTCCCTTCAGCAGTATAAGCAGGTCTTGGTCCAGTACACAAGTGTGGAGATTGCCTTTCATCCTCTTACAGTGGCTATAAGGATAGTATACATCCTAATCAAGTGGCTGTGTAGAACTAAGGGTAGCACTAAGTGCAGGAATTTATCTTCAGTTATGTCATGTCAAGCTCTTAGATGACTGATTCTGTGTACAGGTAGGTCCATGACTCTAGAATCCCTCCCTGATGGAAGATGCTTCCATCAGTCTGAGAGAATAAACAGAAGCTACCTGATATATGTGGTGGGTATAAATTTGAGGAATGTGCTCCTTCACAAATGTATATAATCTTTACTAAAAAGGGTACTTTAGTGGGCAGTGTTTGTTTTTTACATGCACATTAAGCATGGGGAAGCTGTCCTTTGAGGCTTCTCTGAGTGTGGAAAGAAGCCACCTCATAGGTGCCCATAGACAATGGCTATACACAACTTTTATGCAAGGACTTCCTTGGCTGGCAGCGGTGAACGCAGGGAGTATAGGCTTCTCCAGGGTATGCTGATTACTAAGTACAGATTTTGAATTTTCCTGCCCTAAATTCCACCTACATCATGTTTTTAGGTACATTTTGCAGATCTGTCTTTTCAGCCAGAAGTTAGTTTTACTAGTGGCCTTTGTATGGCCAAGAACAGAATCAGCTGATGTTAGGATATACTGTTTATAATCTTTGTCATCTACATGCAGTAAGAATACTTTTCTCTACTTTATCTGAAAATCCCTAAATGACGAGTATTTCCTGATGTTACTATGGTACAGAGTACTATATGAATCTTACCTTGTATCTTTAGAATTGTAAGGTCTCTGGATATTCTGAGTATACTGCTGATGGAGGGTCTGTATGACCCCAACAGATAAATTATTTAAAACCAGTATTTTATGTGCTGTGAATGTACTTGGGCTCAGCATACATGCCTTATCAAGTCTGCCCATACATGGCTTATCAGTCTTTATTCTTTAGCTACTTCTCCAGAAATGTGGCAGCTCAGGAAGCTGGTCCTGCTGTCAGATGCTATATTTTTCCTTTAAAGTCCTTGTATGTATCTCCAGTGGCCATTCGATTATGAGTCTAAAGTATGGGTTCTGTGGGTCTGTCCATTAGGAGGGAGCTCCGTGTTCCTTGAGGTTGAATGGTATGTCTGTGCTTAAATGCAAACACAAGAAAATAACCCTCCAGATTACATTAGTTGATGTATTAAAATGTTTTAACTAAAGTTACATTTCACTTGGAGTATTTTTTGGTATATCTAATTGCTAGGGTGTTTTTATATTTTAAACTAAGTGGAAAATTATAGGCATCATTTGCATGGGCAAAAATGCCCCAGGAACATCTTTTTGGTGGTGATAAATGCAGAACAGTAATGCAGGGTACAGCTGGCATCCAAAAAAAGCTGAAGTGTCCCTCCTTTTGAACATTATTGAGAGGGTATCGCACTTGCTGGTGTAATATGGCATGTTACTGTCACTTGAAAAGTAGTCTGATACTGAGCAATAGTTTTCCTCAAGTGGTGATTTACTGCTAATGCTGACGTTATTGCTTTTGTTGTTTATAGAACATGTTTTTCATATGTTGTTTTGTGATTGCCTTTAAGTGATTTAGTGCCTGAATAATAACCACAATAATAGAAAACATTTAAAGAGACCTATTTCTTGTATTTGTAGCTAAAGTCCTAATCCATCAAACTAGTTCAGTGGTATTACTCCTGAGCCTTGATATACAGCCCCTTTATAACAGCAAAAAATTGTCTGTTTAATAAAAGGCATGGAATTTGCTTTTTTTTTTCCCCCAGATGATTTTTCAGATGATTCACTAATTGCAAAGTAACGGGGTCACATTAAAGATCAGAGTAATTGTCAGTGTTCAACCCAGCTGGCTCGATGTTGTGTCAGTGAGTTCAGCAGTGCTGACTGGGTTATTAGGTTCAGGCTGAGACGTTATGGTGTGCTTAAATATTAAGTTACCTGTAAACTGGAAAAACATTTGAAATACTGAGCTGTCAGTGCTAACTGACTCTGTGATTATGCAGCAAGAGACCCGACAGATTTACAGATATTGTTGAGGCTTTCAGTTTCAGTACTGGTGCTCAACAGGCTGCCCAGGGAAGTGGTTGAGTCACAGTCCCTGGAGGTAGTTAAAAGGTGTAGATGTGGCACTTAATTTAGTGGTGGACTTGGCAGTACTGGGTTAATTGTTGGATCCGGTCACCTTAAAGGTGCTTTCTAAACTAAATGATTCTATATTGAATAAGTATGAATTCAGTACCACTCTTTCTGAAGAACAGCTTCATTGTGTCTGAGGTAGCTGCTAACTGTTGCAAACAAGACTTCAGCAAGGTACCTTGGGCTCATTAGCTATGCCAAGTCTTTTGGCAGTAAGTGAACAGAAGACTCTTACCTTTATTTGCGGTATGGTACAAAATGAAATTTTAATGTGATTTTGTGCTGAAAAATCTTGCTTTTCTTTTGAATTTTGAACCTTTGGTAGGAAAACCGCACTTCAAGATATCTGCAGAATTTGTAACTAAATGGTTTCCAAGAGGTAAGGCTACTTTTTAAGAATTGAATAATTGTGTATTAGAAATTATGTGCAAGTAAACACTTTCTTTCTGGTAGTCCTTTTCCACCTAGTCAGCAAGTCTTGCCCCTGATGTATCAAAACCTACATCGCAATCTACATGTCAGAAGATTGCCTCCTGAAGTACAAAAATGTGGATCCATTTTATTGTCTCTTGTGCAAGTATTTCATTGGCAAAAGGCCCAGTTTTGTAGGTTAAAACAGGATAGAAAGTGCATTTTCAAGTCTAACCCCAAATCTGAGTGCTGATGTGTGGTGGGATTTGAAAGTGATAGCACTTGTATGTAAACTCGCTACTGAAAAAACATTATTGACGAACAGCTTGTCAGCTTACTAAACTAGTGAGAATACGCTAATTCAGTCAGACATCTGGTTATATTGAAATTGGTTAAATTTGAAGGTTTTTGCCCTGTGAAAAATAAATATGTTTTCTTGTACATGTGAGGAAGGGTAATTATGCGTTAAAATGTTAGCTGTAAAGTAAATGAGGCACACAAATTATCAGATGAAAACAGAGGGGGAAAAGGGTTCTGATGTGCATAACTGCCTTCAGGCACAGATTATTCCTCAGCTTTTGTGGTTTTCAGATCAAGTGTTTTTTGGCACTGTCGAACCCAATGCAGACTTTTAAACCATTTCTCTGTTAAATAATATCCTTAATAATTTCTTTCCTGCCTGCAATATTACAGTTTCTGCTATTGGCATAACATCAGTTTTATCTTCAGCCTCAACTATCTTGCTTGAAATGACCTGTAAAATTATCTTCCAGACTCTTCATTAGACATAATCTCTTCAGGGAGTACTGCGCAGCGTGGCAGCTGCGCTTCAGATTGCTCGTCTCTTTGCTGAGATGCTGTGTCCTCTGAAAATATGTTGCAAGGGTTTTGTAAAAGGTAGAAGAGTTAGCATGGGGGAGGGGGATTATTTCCTTTTACAGCCTAGTTGATGGAACACTTTCCTATGAATTAGGACTAATGGATCTACTTCCTGCTGGGCTCAGGAAAAAAAAATCATGTCTAGATCACTCATATTCTGGGTGACTGAATTTAATCCCCGAAGTCTTGGGTTAAAGAACATCACCATCGTTACCAAGCACCAGAAGAAATTCCAGCTTTTAGTTCCCTCTGCATTTCCTACCAGTATCTGGAAGGGAATGCTTCACTTTCAACATTAAGTGTGTCTTTAGTTCAGTTCTACTTTTTTTTTTTTCCCCTGCGTAAGTTCGATTTTGGTGAAGATTTGTGAGATTTGTTGTGTTTAGTTGTTAGGCACTTTTGTATTCACTTGTTGCACTCACTAATTTGGCTGTGAGCTTCCTTTTGTGGGCTGCATTACCTGAACGGTTTCCTATGCTAATACTTCATAATTGATTTTTGTTT